TCTCTTCTCGTACGAGGAGAGAAGTTCCGGTGGAAAGAGAGAAATTCTGGTGGACTGTCAGTTTCGTCTTGTGATTATTAGATAAATTTCTGAGGATGGGGAGAAATTCTGGTCGGAAGAGAGAAATTCTCGTGGAATGTGAGTTTCGTCTTTCGATTATTAGATAAATTCCTGTGGATGGGGAGAAATTCTGGTCGGAAAAGAGAAATTCCTGTTGCACAAGAGAGAAGTTCTCGTACGAGGAGAGAAGGTCCGGTGTAAAGAGAGAAATTCTCGTGGAATGTGAGTTTCGTGTTTTGATTATTAGAGAAATTCCTGTGGATGGTTAGAAATTCTGGTCTGAAGAGAGAAATTCCTGTTGGAGATGAGAGAAATTCTCGTACGGGGAGAGAAGTTCCCGTGTAAAGAGGGAAATTCTCGTGGAATTTGAGTTTCGTCTTTTGATTATTAGGGAAATTCCTTTGGATGGGGAGAAATTCTGGTCGGTAGAGAGAAATTCCTTTTGGATCAGGGGAGAAATTCTTGTGTAAGGATACATATTGTTGATGGCGGCCGGAAAAATTCCTGCTTGCTAAGAGAAAAATTCTCGTTGAAGTTGTCGTCTGAGTGTAAATTCTCGAATTTAGCGAAGTCTGATGTCAAGCGTCGAGTAATAATGTACCAGACCGTATGTGCTGTGAAAATTCCGGCAGTTAAAGAGAAATTCTCGTGGGGAAAGGGAAGTTCCGGAATTGAAAGTATCCGGACACTACTGAATGAAAATGGTATATTGAATTGTGTTTGAACCTCAATAAATGTATCTATTAAAGAAATGTATGGTTTCGATGAATGTCTATTCGTTCGCGGTCGGACTAGCACTTGCTGACCAATATATATGTATATATAACAGAAAAGCAGCGAAGGAAACGCAACGGCTGATGGCAGTATTATTTGGAAGTGTTGTTATTTCAATGAAGGTTGAGTCTACCCGCCCTGACTTGTAGCGCTTAATTTCTCGGCTTATATGATATAGAAGAAAAGATTGTCCGAATTGTAACGGACAACGCGTCTAATAACCTAGCTGCTTTTAATAATTATGATCTGCCAGGTTCTGAAGATTTTGATTTAGTTGAAAATTCTAGTTTAGTTTCTTAATATCAATTTCTCAAAGTTCGGGGTAGAGTCGTTTTTTGTATTTTTTCAAATTTATCAGCAAATATTCTGCTCTATCGATATAATTTAGAAATTTTGGCTATTTTGTGTAATGTTAAATGAAGTGCAACACAAGATTTGTACGGAAGCAAAATCTGTACGAAAATAAATGGAAATGGCACTAACACCACTGTGAATAATAATCAAACTGTTCTTTAAATTATTATTTCCTCAAATATATACAACACATCACAAGATACTATACAACTTAATGTGCGTATATTAAGAACGAAATTCGTATCATCCACCGACAGATAACGTACAATAAGAATGTATAAATTATATCTACATCAAAACATAAATACTATATTATTCTAGTAACCCAAATTCAAATGTGCGACTCACCCTTGGTGTAAAATTCCCCTGTAACGGGCGAGTCAGAATGAATGGCGCATTTTTTATTATGCATAATCATTTTTATTGTTATTAATAAATTGTTTTTACTAGTATAATCCAATAAACTGTTCATCAAATCTATGCCACATCCAAAATAACGGGAAATAAATGGTGCATTTTTGCTCTTTGTTTTTGAGACATTTCCCGGTGATGCAAAGAGTTGGTTCTAGACTCAATCGATAGAGCATTGAATTCTCTACAAAACCTGCTATTTGAATCTCTGAGAGCATTTTTCTTGTTCGAGCACCATTCAAAATATTGTAGGGTGCTGAGTTGTAGAAAATTCTGCATCTTCTCACATATTTTGTGAAATTTTGCAGTTAAATCTTCGAGCAAAATTTCTCTGTGCGAAAAACTGATACCTCTTAAAAAGACTAACTTTTGAACCTATTTTTTAACAGACTTTAGTTTTTTGGCTATAAAAGCAGTAAAACGTTCTGAATCCAGGGTTTTAGTCTTATTATCTCACACAGAATTAAATTCTGCGTTTTGTGATATATAAACCAAGTTTCTTAATTGAAACCATTAATTAAAAAAATTAATTTAATTTGAAAAAATTGGAAAGCCACTTAAGGAGTAATTATGATTCCAGCTAACATAGTGGAAACATTGTCTGAAGTTGCAAATGATCATTACTTGGGTTTGCTTTTACCTATTCAATTATTATTAACTTTCAGAGAACCGAACTGATTTTCCAAAGATCTTCTGAGAAACTGGCTTTGGAAATTTTTCCAAAATTCGCTTTTGCTCACGAAAGTATGCGGTCATGTGTCTAGTTTCCAAAACTGAAAACCTCAGGTCTCTCTCTATCTTCTACCAAAAGTTATTCAAAAAGTAATTGACGGCCATGTATTTTGAGACGGATAGTAGTATCGGTTTTCACTCGGTTATGTTGGATTTTGTTCTGAAAACTAACATTGCTTTTAAACATAGATTTTTACTTGATTGCAACTACTGTGTGAGGACAGTGAAGATCTAGTAATTGGGCGATTACTAGATTTTTTCTAGTTGCAACTATCGATTTATCGCCCGATAATCGATCGATTAAACTATTGCTAGATGCACATGCAGACGCATCTAGTTAAAAGTCCCTTTTCCAACTAGTAATCTAGATCGCAGCTAGTCGTGTATCGCCCGATTATTGACGAAATGTATCTAGATTTTTCCTATAGGTGATATTTGTTTGGGATGTAGTAGCGCCAGTGTCCAGTGCCGATTTTCGTCCTTTTGGTACAACTGTTATAACTCTTCATTGAAACGTTGCCTAGAGCTGAAAGAGGCCCTAGTTCGATCATAAATGTTTGCTTTACAATGCGGTATCATCGAAGAGTCTGGCTTTGGGTCTTTTATCAATTTAAAGCAATTTTTGAAAAAGATAGTTTTGTAAAGCTTGCAGAAAACTTTCTTAAAATCCCTCAAAAATCGTTGATGAAGGTATCTGTTTCATCGATTCGGATAGTAGATATCTTCAACTATTCAATGATATGCTTAATTCTATATCGACCATTTTGAGAAATTTTGTATTTTTGACAGGCGGTAAGCCTTAAAAAAAGCGGATTCTATTAAGGGATGATATTTTAGCTTAACCGTCCTAATAATTAGTAATCTGACATTTAGATTTGAAATAGAGCAGAATCTTCCGTTACTCACCACAACACTATCATTGCGCAATTTTACTCAGTTAATCTATTTAACTCAGTTAAATCAGGCAATGGCAATAAAGACGGTGAGTGATTTATGTCGTCAATATTCGACAGTTTCTCATATTGATCCATCGACGAGCCAAGACAATACAATGGGTTTCATGTATTGGCAATTGAACGACATTTGGCAAGCACCAACATGGGCGTCAATTGAATATGGCGGTAAATGGAAAATGTCACATTACTATGCGAAACAGATGTATCAATCAATCTATGTTTTACCCTATCTCACATACGGTGAAAATGCCAAAATAAGCACTTATATGATTAATGATGGAATTGCGAGTGATAATGAGCAAGGAAAAGTTGAATGTCGCAATGGTATACTTTAAAAATGTTCGGGATTGAGAAATGGGAAGTAAGATTGTAGTAATTTTTTTCCAGAGGATAGACCTTAGATGGGATAATTATTCTTTCAAATTATACATACATTCGTTTTAAAAAGCTCTATCGGATTCTATGATATGTTGGAGATAAAATAGAGTATATATTGATATTCTGATTGAAGCGGTGATTATTTCAATATCTAATATGCTCTTAGATTTTTAAAATACTGCCAACTTCACTTAACTTTTACGTAAGCCTGTAACGTTTTGTGAAATTTATAGTTCTTCAGCCGAGCAACGTACAGAGCTGGGGAACATCTGATTTTGCAGCTTAAAGATTTTCTTTCAAATGATAATTAAGTAAAATCTAGAAGCTGACCGGTTTAAGTGGCATAATGCTTTTGGTATGCGCCACTTTGGTGCAAAAGGTGTTATTGGCGCGAATCATAGGCAGGTGTTTAGGTTAGAGCTAGATCTTGTTTAGTTAACAACTAAAGGAAAAATCTTTAAATTATGAAACAAGACTTTCCCCAGCTCTGTACGTTGCTCAGCTGAAGAGCTGTTAATTTCACAAAATGTTACGAACTTGCGTTTTTTGGCTGGTATGTTTGAACAATCCGAGCTGTAAGTCGCACGATAAATGCACCTTTCGATGGAGCATTTTACTTTAGGATCACAACTAAGCTACTACAGGATGCGCCATAAAGAATGGTACCAATAGTATTTTGCATCTATCTTCCTTATTTTTTGACTGTTTGACTTCGATTTTTTTTCAAAAGATTCTTGATTCATTTCAAGTTATTTTTTCAGATAATGAAAGATAATGATCTTCAAAAACTCGTTATTTGTTTACTTGTTGTTGTTAAAACGGTGACGATCTGGCGAATTCGGGACTTGAATGGCGCTGTGAGTCATTGAACAATCAAATGCGGGTGCAAGATGATCTCCGAAATTGGCACTAATGATCTGTCAACATCGACTGGACGTCCACGTACGGCTCGGACTAAAAGAGCCATTCAAAAGGTAAAAAATTGTTTATAACAGAAGAAGCAATTATCCGCCTGAAATTTGCCAAGCTTGGGATCTCCAATACAACTACTCGTCAAATCCTTAAGAATGATTTGCACCTGTGACCCTACAAGAAGACGATCGAACCGGTTCTTACCCAAGCGCACAAAGTCAAACGAGTCCAGTTCTCAAACTGACTGCGAAACAATTTTCAAAAAGAATCATTTATTGCATTTATTTATTGCATTTATCAACTTTCTTGTTTCACTGCCGTCAACCAACCCATGCTTGGACGTAATGCTTTCGTTTCAGGATTCTGCGCAACACCAAGAAAACCAGAGATAAGCTTCATTTTTGTGATGTGACCATTGTCGTCAAGAAGAAAATCGGTCTTTGTTACACTTCCCTTTAAATCAGAAAATTCGATGCCATTGATTAATCCTTGACGGCGGTGACGATGATCATGTCTTGCTTTTGTATAATGCCCTTTTCCGTCATCAGCATATCTATTAAAGAATTACGACCATTGAAAGCGTGAATCAATCAAAAAAGTAGAAGATACTCACGGAACAAAATCAGCCAACCAACCACTTAACATTGAAATGTCTGATCCACCACCTACATGGTGACAGATTTTCGACCACCATTCTTTGTCCGGTTTTCCTTGAGCGCTCTCTTTCAGTTTTTCTAAATGGGGCAATATTGAATCAAACCACCAATGAAAATCACCAAAATAGGCTTTCAATGTATTCACACGATCAATCACTGACTGTCAGTCATCAGCAGAACCACGCAGTGTTACTTCTGGGAGGCCACCTAAAATTGAAAAAGGTTTGACAGTGTAGGTAGGAGTAACCCTTTCGAAAACATAGAACTTTTAAATCAACTTTATCCGACATGATTCTCAGCTTTTCTTTTTAGTTTCTTTTGGAGGGAATCAATCAAAGACAAAACATGTTTTTCTGATGTCATTAGAAATATATGTCGTCTTTCTCTCTATAGTCCCATGGAAAGACGCAGCACGTGCTCAAATTTTAAAAAAGGAGAAAATGGCCGTTAAAAGTTGGCTGTTTCCTATGTTCAGACATTTTATCTCAATGAGAATAATTTCATCGAATCAAGCTCAAAAAGACGCGTTGAATGCATATCTAGTTGACTTATTTTTCACTTGACTTTACTGGGAAAATACGTTTAAAAGACGAGCCTATTAATAAATAAGCGATTTTTTACAGAAAATATGTCACGATCAGAAACGTTTTAGGTCACGGATCTAATGAAGGTACCTCTCGCGGTGATAAGTTGCTGAACTATACTGATGGGATAGACTCTATTAGATAGAGGCCAAAAGATTTCGCTTCTCTAATTTCTAATGTTGAGTTATGAATTTTTGTTGTTTTCCTGGATCAGCAAGACAATTTCAAACAACCACCATCTGACCAGCACATCAGACATCTTAAAGAGATATAAATTTTCCATCTGAAATGATGACGTCAAATGCACGACTGTTTCTCGATTCAAGTACCAATCGAACTGGTATTTTTACTCTCAAAATCATATATTTCCAAGAAGAAAAATTCATAATTCAACATCAGAAATCACCGAAGCGAACTCTTTTGAAGTTTTTCTTTACTCACTAGGATCTATCTTATTAGAATAGTTCAGTCCGATCGCGAGGTATCCTCATAAGCTATAGCTTATGAAGGTTCTCAATAATGAAGTGTTGTGTACAACACTTTTTATTATTGAAAATACACTTTAGTGTTAGTTTATGGGATTTAAAATAAAATTTGCTAAAAAAACCTACCAAATTGATTATTTAAACTATACTTCTGTGTCTAAAATAAATTATGCTCGCCAAATGACTCGCTTGTACTCACAGCAGAGACTAAATCGATAACTATAGTAAGCTTTAACCGAGTCCATTAATGTGCAATCGAAAACAGCTTGCTCAATTGGACTTGTCTGTGAAAAGGGTATTGTCACTAATTGAGCAAAATCGGTTTTCATATCCTTCTTTATCAATTCGCCCATTTGATTAACAGCTTGTGGCCAGTCAATACCTGGTACATTTTTGTTTCCAGTTGATGGACGCTCAGAATCCGGTATTCTTAGAGAATCAACAGCCAAAGTCAGTTCTTTCTGTCCTTCATGAGACACAAATAGAGAACGAAATTTCTCTGCGTTTTCATTCAAATGAATACTAACTCCCTGAGCAATTGCCACCCAAAAATCTTCAACCGATAATTCCAATCGATAATGTTCGCAGTAGGCTTTGTAAATCGTAGCAATGAATGCATTGTTAACACGATGATCAAGTTCAATCAGAGGATAATTTGTTTGACCATTCTCAAACAAGAGAGTCTCTTGTGTCGGTTTAACTGGAGGGTTATCTTTTTCTAATGTTGAAAATAATGGTTGTTGTTGTTTTGGCATCCATCGTTTTATTTCTTCTTCGAATTTAGCAAGAGAGTGATGTTTTATACATGGTTCTACCTCAGAAACATTAAACGTGGTTGTCATTGTCAAAGTTGTGCACCTTTCTTTCTTTTATAAGTAATTTCTCGCTCGAATCAGTCTTTGAGTGTCTACGTCTTCCTTTATTATTATGTTATATATATATATATTTATATGTAGAACAGAAAAAAAGAAAATGTTGATGATTCACGCACGCATTTTCTCTTATGGACACTTATGCACAATCACGCTGTCAGAATGGAAATACATTCAAGAGATAGAAAATCAAGGAGTCATATGTGATGTTAGAGTGACATGAAGGATGAATTGCGAAAAGTAGAGAATTAAAAAGAAAGTTTGAGAAAATCTGACAAGGTTTTGAGAGGCTTACCTCAAAATACACGGCAAGAATAAAAGCATCTGCTAGAAAACGTCCACGAAAATGCATAGTAAAAAAAGCATCGACAACAATACGTCCACAAAAATTCATCCAAATAGAAGCGAAACATTAAGTGCTAAGCATGGCATGCAAGTGCATGTACTACATAGCTGAATCATTCCACTGCACTAGCTTATCTCAAAAATGACTAATTTCTTGCGATAGTGGATCGGCCCAGCAAGTCACGCGTGCTTCCAAAGTACAGTACAGACTACTCTCTAAAAAGAAAATGGTTTATTACGAAACTTAAAAGGGTATAGAGAATTGCAACCATTTCTATACCCTTTTAAGTTTCCTACGAACCTAGGTTCCGGTGTTCAGCTACGAAACCTCTATTTTTTTATTGACAAAAAAGGTTTGGTACAACGGGTTTCGTATTAAACCCTAGCAAAAGAGGTTTCGTACAAAGTTGATGTTCATATTTAAAAAAATTAATCCTTAAAAAATGATGAGAATAATTGCATAATCATTAACTTGAAAACATAGTTTTTTATGTGAGTTGTTTGGAGATGTGGAAGCGTATATATATCGTTCTTGTTTTAGAATAAATCTATTAATATATATACATTAATAGATTTACTCAAAAACAAGAACGATATTTTTAACCAGATCCGAAATGCCAACAGCTCCATGAAAGTGGCTCTTTTCCCCCTACTCTGTTCAAATACATGGATAATTAATACAATCAAATACATGTTTTAATTAATAATTGACTGCTAAGTAAGCTCTAGAGATAATTTGTTAATAAATACCTCATTACTTGTGTTTCCGTAGAAATGTGTACCTTAATTTCTAACTCGTGTTAAGCTAATATCACATTACTGATCCTGACATTTTCTTGTATTTCTTAAAGTAAATACACATATAAGTGAATTTATCTTCTTTAGTGTTTTATTACGATTACAATATTTATCAAAGGATCGTTTGCCAGACAAAGATCATTTTTCGTAGAAAAGAAAAACAACCCTCGTCGTCGAAAAAAAAGGGCCTAGGTTGCTATGTATTTCAACGCAATGAGGTCGTGATGATAGAAGAAACATCTAGCTCCCAGATGTAAAACTGCATTTTGAAGGTTTTCCGTTTCGTTCAATATTTTTTCCTTTAA